CCCTAATAAGTTCGAGCTGCCACGAGGAGACTGCCAAGGGCGGTTGAAGGTATTTACTGGGTTGCGGAATTTAAGATAACTTACTATCATTTACGTTTAGGGTTCAGGACACTATTGGGGGAACCGTATAACTGCTAGATATACTCATTTTGTACGGTAATTTAAGTTCCAACAGCAACCCAACTTAATACTGCAGATCTCGCTTGCCACCGTCTTGATGGTCCCTTTGGTATTGCAGATCTTGCTTGCCACCGTCTTGAAATCCAAAAACCTCTAGACCCGAAATTCTATTCCGCGAAGAATACCTCCTCAACCCCGGACCCTGAGTCCTAAGCTCTCCTAGTGCCTAGATCCCCAAAGAAAGGACCATCTCACACAACACCCTAAACCTAGACCCATTATAACGCCTATATAATCCTTATATAATTCTCCCTATGGTTCTAGGGGATCGTGTCCCACGAAGACAGTCAAGCAGCTTGTTGGCACAAAGGTCCTTGGGTGGAGGACCTCAGGGAGGTTTAGGGTTTAGGGTTTAGGGTTCAGGGTTTGGCTCTCAGACACATAGGGGTAAGTCTGGGAAACCTCCCTGAAGTAAGGTGTGTGGCTGGATTATGGGGGATAGTGGTGTGGGGGAGAGGGAACTTCGCTACAAGTAAGGGGGCCATAGGCAATCCCTATCAATCCCACTGAAAAAATGAAAAGAATCCAGCTTGAGGCTGTGCAGGCTCATCGGCACCCGAGAAATGGTGCCTACATACCCCCCCATAATAAGCTGTGCAAGAGTCGTATGCCCCACTCCCCATTGTCGGTTACTCCAGAAGTCGGTTGTGGAGTAATCCTGTCAAATCGTACTGTCTGTTTCTTCATTCCCTACTAACCACGATAAGACAAAAAACCCTACCAACTAAGCCCTAAACCCTAAATCCTAAATCTTAAGCCTTAAACCCTAAACCCCAAGCCCTGAACCCCTTAAGCCGTGAACTGCCGGGAACCCCAAACCCTAAAGGCAGGCGAGCCTTTCGTCTCCCGCTGGAAGCGGTTCAAGGCTAACTGAACCTGAGCCAGAGCCGAAATAGGAATGGACAAGATCAAGGCGTAGGGCTTGGGGATGAGGGTTTAGGGTTTAGGGTTGAGGGTGTACCTGGACCCCAAGAGTATGCAAAATAATGGCCTTTATGGCTATTAATTTGGGTTTAGGGCTATTATTTACATACTTTTGGGGTTCAGGTAAGGTTCAGGGTTCAAGGTTTAGGGCTTAAGTTTCAGGGTTCAGGGTTCAGGGTTTAAGGTTCAGGGTATGGCGTTTTGGGTTCAGGGTTTGGAGCTTAGGGTGTAGAGTCTAGGGCTGAAGCATGAGTGACAGCTAAAACACCGGCGGATGGTTTGTTTAAGTGCACGGGCAGATGACTTCGAATAGAGAACGGTCGCCTTAAGGGTCTTATGTGGGATTTACAAAGGGTATATACGGCGCGTAATGTCATCATGTCATCATCGCCTTGTACCTGATACAGCGAGCCTGATTTCTGCGGGAGCTTCCACCAATTGGCACCCGTATGAACCCAAAACCCTAAACCCCTAACCGTGTATCACATTTGCAAGTTCAGGGCCTGCTTCTCATGTGGTGACCCCGTCGACCCAGATGAGGAGGATGGGTCCTGAAGTGCTAAAAAGGGCGATGAATGTCTACCTTGGTTTGCAAGGCCGATCCCACCTCCGTCTACTCCTTCATTTTAGGGCTTAGGGTTTAGGGTTTAGGGGTTTAAGGGTTTAAGGGTTTAGGGCTTAGATCTATATTGAAGGTTTCACTTGCTTCTTGAGTTTTTCGTTCTTCTTCTTCTTTTCGTCCTCTGCTTCTCTTACTCAAGCAGAAGATCTGCAATGCCTACCTGAGGCGCCCTATGCCGTAAGGGAATCTAGGACCATAATATTGGGAATCGTTTTAGCTTCTGCCATAAGGGGCGTAAACTCTGAAGCCTACACCCTCACCCTCAAGCTCGCATAAATCCTACTACATTCCGAATAGTAGTTTCCTTTTTCTTTTCCATGTTCCCATCGTACTCCAGCATACACCTATATAACCCATGACCCTTATAGCTTCTCTAGATTATCCCAGCAAGAAACAGCAAGATCGAAGCGTTCCGTGAAAAGTACCCCAACAAAATCTGGGAAATCCCAATGAAGGAGCGCATGAGCTATACTCTAAACTCCTTAGAGGGGGTTTATATAGCGGATTATATAGGGGATTACTATAAGGGTTACCAAGGATACTAGGAGTTCAGACAATGAAGGAGCACATACGGATTGAGTTAAAAGCAGTCCATGCCCCCCTTATGGTAAGCCGGCATACCTAAACACTGAGCCCTAAACCGTGACCCCTAAACCCTGAACCTTAAACCCTCAACCCTAAACCCTAAACCCTAAAGCGTAAACCCTACACTCTCAACCCTAAACCTAAACTTTTCACCCCTTATGGGGCTCCCGGCTGACGACTCGAGGATGTCGAAGAACGCGGTGGACCGCGTGAGCCGCAGAAATGGCGAGTGAAGAGGCTTACACGCCAGCTCCCTCAACCTAAGCTTCGGTGAGGATTTAAGGTTACAAGTTTAGGGTTAAGGGTTTAGGGTTAAGGATTGAGGGCTAAGGGTTTAGGGTTTAGGGTTTAGGGTGTATTCCCCGAGCTTTTGGCTCTACGGTTTTTAACGCCAAGGAATTAGATCTGCTTTGGGAAATTACTCCACATTATCCCACCTAGATCTTTAAGGTTTAGGAATTTAGGGCTAGGGCTCCTTAGTTGGGGCCCTGTTTTTCCTTTTTGCAATCCTCATAGATCGCTGGGATCCCAGTTCGTGAATTCTTTTATTTGATGATTTATGGCTGGATATCATCTCGGACCAGGGTTTAAAACTTCCGGCTGCGCGGCTCTGGATAATGTACTTTAGGTGGGACGCCCCACCCTGTAAGAGTGGTATAGTAGGAACATAAGAGGAGCTTTGTATAATCCTTATCATCCCTTATGGTCACTATTACTGGGTGGGGCTCCGCCTAAATTGTACGATATTCATTATATGCCCCATAGTGTAGGGTTTGGGGCTTAAGGTCCCCCAACTTGGACACTGAATATATACACTCACCAACTTTAGTCGGGAAACCTATATACACTCACCCAATACCATTAAACAACCTGCATATAAGGGTTTGAAGTTGATGCAAAGGCATTCTCGCGGTTTCAACCCTAAACCCTAAGCCCTAAACCGCGCAAACTTGGAATGTAAGGGTTCGATCTCTAGCCTCCCGAAAGTCGCAGCTGGTGGGTTCAAGGTGCAAGGCATCCCCTGCAACAAACCTGGGGGAAAATCATGGCGGTCCTTGTGAAAGAACTCTACAGGCGTAATGTTGCAAAACCCCAATGCACAATTCAAACCACAAACCCCTAAACCCTGAACCCTAAACCCTAAAACCCTTACACGACGACACCCTAAACCCCTAAACCCTCAACCCTAAACTCCCAACGTTGTCAGCTTGACCTCATGGTGCCAAGGATGGCGCCCCTTTAGGCGGCAGTTACCATCAACCCCATGAGACTACAGTAAACCCTAACCCTAAACCCTACATTCTGATGGGTTTACGTTTTGGGTTTAAGCGTTTTGGGTTTAAGGTAGCGCTGTATGCTGTAGGGACTTTGGGGTTTACCCATCAGGGGCATCAACGCATGGGCGTTAGCGCAAGGTAGTCCCTCAAACCGGAGTGCTTGTGCCAACGGGACCCATGTTCAAGCTGGAACCCTGAACCTAAACCCTAAACGACAACAGACTTTCACCTTCCCAGAGAACCCAATACCGCTGACTGGCGAATACCAGGACAGGGGTTTCTTTAAAGAATCTTCTGTCGGCGGCTGAACCCTAAACTGGTTTGCGTTTTAAGGCTTAGCTTCTATTCTCTTAAACGCGACCAGACATACGATGCTTAAGTTCGTCATCATACCCCTCTTCACAGCCTGTAAAGGACTTATGATCCCCTTGAAGGATACTAGCCCTACATGCCCCCTCAAACCCAGAACATGATCGGGTCATGCCTGGTTATGACTGGGCTCTCACGGTTTAGGGTTTAGGGTTTAGGGTTTAGGGTTCATGGAAACCACAGCCGACGGTCCATCTGATTCAAAAGGCCCCTGCAAGATAGGAATAATTTGTGTAAGAGCTCTCGCGCCACCTCAATCAAGTGCCATGCACGGAGTCTAACATATTATATTATACTGGCATATACTAGAATATACTATATTACTGAAATATCCTAGAACATTCTGATATTCCAAGTTACTAATATGCTACACTAGAAGATACTAGAATACACTGATAAAGTATCTGAAAATGTGCCAACATAATATACTTGCTAATGTGATATACTAGAATGGCCGCATAACTGCTGGTGCTCAGGGCTACTGCATAATTAGCCGCCCAGCTGCTCAGTTGCCAGGGACAAAAAGTTGGGCCATCAGTTCTGGTAGGATCATATGAGCCATATCAAAACTCCTAGTATCCCCCTCAATAAGGTTTAGGGTTTAGGGTCTATGAGTGTAAGGTTTAGGGTATAATACCCCCTTATATAGCCCCTCTTAAGGATTTTAGACTATGGCTCATAGAGGTTACCTACCCCGCGGCTACCCGTCACTTTGCGCCACCCCAAGTGAGCCTGGTCCACATTTGTTCGCTCTCGAATGGAGCTGGAAAACTTTTTGTCTGGGCATGACTTGCCGGTGGGTACTTGGGAATGAAGGAATGGACCAAAAAAAGGCAAATTACCATGCTGTTGGGGAAAAGTTGGGACTACCATCCTGGTCCATGCCGTCATTCCCAATCACCAATAAATCCTTGTCTGAGCTTCAGGCAAATGAGCCTAGAAACATTGGTGACAATGACATTTCACCTGCTCTTATTAAACTTCGGATCATGCATCCACATGACTGAAATGAAGCCAACTCTCGCTGAGCAGCGGCGGCTGACTCAATCATAATCCAACTCCTCAAGCTCTAACGCGCGCTCAATCGTCTCAGAAAGTGTGGTGAGAGTCACTTTGTCCTTCCGGAACTCAGCCAAGGCCCTACGCGCCACAGCAAGCCTCTCCGGCGACTTCTTTGCAAGCTTTGCGCACACCGCCTGAACTGCGCGCACATCTTGCCACTCCTCCTTCGTGTTTTGGAGCAAAGTGTTTAAGTAAACCTCCGCAAAAGCTTTATTGGCCGAAACTTGCAACGTCTTCATAACATCACGGGCACAGAGGATGCGCGACAAAGGAGCACTGGCATAGGCTCCCATTAGGCTGGTAAACGTGACCACATTCGGCTGCAAGTCTAAGGCAAGTGATAAGTTGAAGAGATACTCAGCAGCGTTGTGCCCAGAACCCGGAGCCTCCCAGCAAGCACGTATCGCAGAAGTAATGTGAGCAATATTAATGTTTACGCCGGTGCGGTTCATTTGGTCCAGAACTTTCGCGGCGCTCTCTATGTCACCTTCTGCCGCGGCGGCATCAATGCGGGCTGCTGCTATCACCTCATCAAGCTTACAAGACTGCATGGCGTCTGTCCAGATGGAACGAACACGCTCAGGATCTCCCAGCTTCGCAAAAATCTTGATGCCGGTGGCGAAGGCGGCTCCGTCCAAAGTGATGTTCAAATGGCAAAGCTCCTCTCATTGTACGGGAATCCAGTAAGGCCAAGTAAGGTATAAAAAAAAACAAAACAAAAAAAAAACAGGCAGTCCCGCAAAGGGGCCCTGCATGCAATCAACTTCAAGATCTCCAATGACGTAAGTTGCAGTACGCAAAAACCAAAGCTGAGGGGCACATGCTACCTTTCTAGCAGGGATTTCACGGATGTGCAGACCTCAAAACCAAAAATCATCTTAGCATTACCAAGATTCATCATATGTCGCAGCCGCTTCACTGTACTGTCCACAGCCGTACGCTGCGTGAAGCACTGCGTGAAACACTGGCAGCTCCATACCACTGTAACTGCGGTAGAGAGATCGCACCTTCTGCCAGTCTCCTCGCTCGCGCGCAGCTGAGATTCGTCCCAGCAGTTTTCTGGTCTCCGGGGTGTACGTCATGTTTGGGTTGCTAACCCTTGTTCGCAATTCCAAGCCGGCCTTTTCCCGAAGCGCCCGCAATGGCCCCTGCTGTTTGAAAGCACTGAAGCAACGGCCATCAAAATATCGCAGAAACAGGCCACAGGCGATGGAAAGCAGATATGTCGGCAAGAGCAGTCTCTGCTTCAGCATGGCTGCTTCCCGGCAAGCAACCTTTTCCAGGAATCAATTCCGGAATCTGAGAATGAAGTACAATAATTGCCTTCTTGGCTGTTTTTTGGAGGCCTTAGGCCATGATTTTACGCCACTTTGGGGTCCTGGTAATCATTCTATCGCAACACCAGCATGGGATGATAAGGTGCAGGGAATCCCAGATATCTTTTGACTTTAATTTGGCTTGCTGGTTCCTTGTCCAGAATGGAGGGAAGGATGCCTGTGGTATCTGAGGGCTTTGGCTTTAGGATTCAGAATTGAGGGTGTAGGCTAGCTGGGGGCCCCTAGGAATTATTGTGGTGATGTGCTGAGAAACTCCAACGTTACGCCTGTTGTAAATTGTAGATGTCTCAGCTCTGGCCTCTCAGAAAGAGCAAAACGTCATCCCGTGGTGGGATACTTGTTTGATGTTTTTGGCTAAGGCTTTGGGGTTCGGGGTGTAGGGGTTTGGGGTTCAGGGTGCCTGAACCAAATCGGATGTTGCACGTCACTGCTGAAACCCTAAACCCTAAATCCTGAAATGTGTGGCTTTTTCAGTTCACTGCTGCTTCCGCTTGATGACTGGGCCACTCCGCTTGCGGCAGTCACGCTGACCCTCATAAATGAGGTTAATGGAAAGAAAATAGAGAGTACTATCTAAGGTTCAGGATTTGGGGTTTCCCAAAATATGTAGGACCTTTTTGGAGGTGCCCCAAAACAATGATTCTAGTATTTCGGGATCCGCATTGGGGCTTCCCCATTTAAGGAAACTACCACTTCCCAAACCCGAAATACACGAGAAAACAAACACGCAAATGATCAATCGCTGTGTCCCTCGAAGCCTGCCACCCAAAAGCAACAACTGACTATGTCGCCTGAATGATTGACAGCTTGGTAGAAAATTCTGCAGTAATTAAGCCCCTCCCCTGATAAATCCCAATTGAAATAACATGTCTTCACACTATATGACCTATAGTCTAAACTCCTAGTATCCCCTTAATAACCTCCGTAGTAGTCCCGCATGTAACCCCCCATATAACCCACGTTAAGGAGTTTAGTCTACAGCTCATATTGCGAACAGCTACTCTTGGGGTTGTGAAGGGGTTCCTTATCAGGGGGTGGGGATTAACCCCTACGCTCTGAAACATCAGGCAAGACTGGTTGGAAGCGATAATTAACTCACCATGCTCTTGCCCCCTAGTGCAACTGTCTCCCGAAGCATGCGGTGATCGAGTAAGGACCCTGGACCCATTCATCCAAGACCTGCAAAACCTCAACATTAGAAAATCGAGGCATCAAACAACCCAAAAGCCCTAAAAGCTCTAAACCAGAAGCCTCAACAATGTCCCATTGCAATACATGGTAATAATCATTCGTTCTTTAACCCTAGTATAACCCCTGAACCCTACGCCGCAATTCCTACCAACCGTACACCCTTAAGCCGTGCAACAAGGCTGTCAGATAGAAGAGGACACGAATATCGTTGGCAAGCAAGTCTGCCAAAAATCGCGAGTGGCCCTTATCATCCTCCAGGGCAGGAGCATCAGCATGAGGGCTTAGACTTTAGGGTTTAGGGCTTAAGGTTTTTTGCTCAGGGTTTAGGGTTTAGGGCTTACGGATTGGGGCTCAGGGTTTAAGGTACAGGGTTTAGGGGTTTGGGGTCAGGATCTACTCGGAGGTTGGTTCCTTTATCCTAAGGGTCCAGGTATCTAATAATTAGATACTCACCCAAAGCCTGTACTACAATGACTACCCTAAACCCCAAACCCTCAACCCAAATCCCAAGTACCTGGTAGTTGGGTACTTGAACACTTTGTGTTTATAAACCAACAATACTACTGCCACCCCCTGGGCTTCCCTCACCCGAAACATCCCTGGGAACCTAGGGAAAAGTTACGACTTGCTGGTGCTTGAGCGAGAATGCGGGAGAGCATCCTTATAATCATCATTAAGCCTTAAACGCCCATATCCTAAACCCTGAAACCCTTGAACCCTGAACCCTAAACACCTAAATCCCTAAAACCCCTGACCCCCAACCCTAAACCCTAAACCTCTGAACCCTATACCCCTAAATCCTATACTAGTCCCCATATTCACTCTTCCAACACCTCCTTTAGCACCAGTAAGTTTTGGGATGGCCCTGGGCTGCAGGGACTTAGGGGTTTAGAGATTAGGGTGCCGGGTTTCGGGATTAGGGTTTAGGAGCTAGGGTTTAGGGGTTAGGGTTTAGGGATTACGGTTTAGGGTTTAGGGCTTAGGGTGCGGGGTTTAGGATGTGGGGTACAGAACTTGAGCAAGCGCCATTCAGTGTGGAAGTGGGCCTGGACCCCAAGATTTCCAAGGACTCGGCAAGCTTGAGATTCAGGTCACCAGTCAAGGCACGCGTTTGGTCGTCAAAGTGACGGGCCACCACAGCACACTTGTCAAGGGACAGAACAAAGCCAAATGCTTGGCCTGACCTCTGGACGGCTTCCCTCAAAGCTTGCAAAGGGGTGCCAGGGAGGCGCCACAACGTGCGGTCGTCAACAAAGCAGACGCCTCCAACTAGGCTCTGCCCAGCGGGTCCAGCGACCCAGCAGCTGCAGCAATGCCCCAATCCTGCGGCGAGGATGGGAGACAAGGAGCAGTCCTGAGCTAGCCCCAGGCTGATGGTGTGCCACTGTGAGCAATGTGCGGATTGCAGGCTGAACGCACCGCAGGCTTTGCGGTTTAGAGTTTCCGAGGTATACCCAGACCACGGATGTCCTATGCCTGAACCCGCGCGTATGCAGAATAATTGCAATCTATGTGCCTTGGTCAATTATTCTGACTTGTCTGTTGGGCCCCGTATATTTCTGATATACACCCTACCAAACGTCAAAAATTAGGATACCGGAGCAAGCGACATGCAGGGAACCCTGAATTATGATAGTTTCGCTAAATAGGGGGACCCGATGTAGACCCCCCAATACCACAGCCCTTATTATGGGGACCCCAAAGGGACCTCTGGTTGTTGGAAGTCGCCTTATGTTGTCAGACATCTGTACTGAGGGTTTAGGTTTCGGTTTTTGTGCTTTCGGGGTTAAGGGCTTAACGGCGAATCAATGGCACCAATGGTAGTTCCATGGGATTGTTGTATGGGGTTTAGGGTATAGGGTTTAGGGATTGGGGTTTAGGGTTTAGGGTTTGGGGTTTAGGGTTTCGGGTTTAGGACAAGCGTCAAAAATCTGGGGAATGAAGATTCCGCAAGGAAACTCTTACCTCAATTGCCACCTTCATCGGAATTATACTTACTGGTTGCTAGAAAAGAAGATGGCAATGTAGTATATAGGAGGAGTATATTCCGTTATTCCCATTTATTCGTACTAAGAAACAGTAAGTATATACAGCCCTTAGACGGCTGTACGAGCTGTAGTCTAAACTCCTAGTCCCTCCCTTGATAAGCCATAGAATCGTCCCCGATATAGTTTCCTACATAACCCCCTTTAAGGAGTTTAGACCCTAAACCCTAAATAGTAGTTTCCACTTTCTTTTCCATTATCCCTATAAAAGCCCTACATAACCCCTATAGTAGTCCATATACAACCCCATGTATTATATAATCCCATCTATTCAACCCCCCCTTTAAGGAGACTCTAGCGCATATGGTGTTTCATCCTATCAACCCTACGGCTTCAGACCTATCCCCCGACAGTCCTCCACGCTGGTGCCCGATGGGTTTAGCATGACATGGACCTTGTTCAGAACCTGGCGCACATCTTCCCTAAACCCCAAAGCTTGGAAACCTAAACCCTAAACCCTGAACTCTAAACCCTAAACCTTAAAGAAAGCGATTGGGGTTTCGGGAACACCTTCCGAGAAGTAAGACTGAGCAGGGTGATTTAGGGATCAGAGCTTAGGGTATTAGATGAAAGGCTTGGAGTATGGGATGTAGGATTTGGAGCTTTGCGCTTAGGCTTTACGGTTTCGGGCGTGGGTTTACGGAATAGCTTGTTAAGGCTGTACATATGATGTTACTGCTTCAACACCAACCCCAAAAGCATGGGACAAAACTTAACTAGTACAATATACACTAAATTTGCTCATCCGCAAGTAGGAGCGAGGTGCCGGCACTTACATAATCGATACTTGAAAACCAAAATGCCTAGAAAGTCACTCCTTCGAGCCCCGAATGTATGCCATGCATGTATGTAGACCCCTCTTTGGAATGCGGCTGGCCGTATCCAAACTTTCTTGAAGCCAATCTTACATAATGCATATCTAAGCCCCAAAGTAAATAGAATATTGGCCCAAAACCCTTAACGCTGCGCGAAAAACTAATTATTACTCTACATATTTTGGGGGCTCGGGTAAGCATCATGGGCTTCTCCCGGCCTGAGCCCTGAATTCCCCCAAACACGAAGCAACTTTAAGACTTGAATCCTAAACTCTGAGATAGCCTCTAAGCCCTAAACCCCTAAGCCCTATACCCTAAAACCCTGAATCCCTGAACCCTAAGCCCGAAAACCTTACGCCCTAAACCCTGAATCATACCTCTGCACTCATACCACGTTTTGAAAAGGGCCAACACTCCAAGCCCGGAGCCTCAAGTTGAATTCCAAACCTTACGCCTAAAGCCCTACACGCTAAGCCAATAAGCCTATAACCCGAAACCCTAAAGCCTACCTGGGCCCCAACAGGTGGTAAGATTATGCTCCACAAACTTCAAAACTGCCAACAAAAAACATGATTCTACACACTGTTGGGGTGTTGGCAACAAAAGCTTAGGCCTTGAGCCCGAAACTCTCAAATCTCCGAGGGCTTAGGATTTAGGATTTCGGGTTAGGGTTTAGGGTCTAGGGCCTGATTCTTTCTCAGAAGAGTAGCCGCCCCTCATGTAGCGCCCGTCTTCATAACGGCTTCCATTAGTGGAACCATAGTTCTCAGGAACCCCTAAACCCCAAACTCCGAAACCCTAAACCCTGAGCCCTAAACCTTAAACCCAAAATCTGGAACCCTAAATCCTAACTCCTAAATCCTAA